GGCACTGATAGCTAAAATTGATCCGTCTGCACATCTCTCTCTCTCTACCTCTGGGGATAAGAGTATCTATATGTATACAGCAAATGAAAATGTTACGTCATTAAAGCCCAATATACGCCTATTTAGCGGCTTGTTTTTAATCATGGACATGGTAAGAGATCATTCTCTACCAGGGAAACCGTGAGAAGAGGAGGCCTAAAGAGAAGCAATCGCCCCTTGAGGCACTTATTAAGAAATCTTTATCCCTAAGGATTAATCTCTAAAACAGCCGCTGAAATGCTCAGTGAGTGATCTTTCATATTATTTTCTTCACTCATATGACATGGGAGGAGAAAGAAGCCGGTTCTCGAGTGTTTCGTTAACATGCCAGTGTCTTCGCGACTTAAACTTTAATTTACCATTGTAATTACGGTTGGTGTAATATCTTAACGATTTTACCGACCCAATACGTGAAAATGTAAATGTTAAATGTAAAAATTGCCAACAGCAAGGTAATACCGGAACCCCGCCTTACGACCACCTAGGTAACACGATCACCAGTTAATACGGCCAAATTTTTTTGGTCCACTGGTGACCGTATCAACGGGGTTACACTGTACATGTAATCACGGTACTGGAGTGATTTTGTGTCAAAGGGTAATTAATAGCCCACTATTTCTAATGCAAACTGCTCTCTTTCCCGAGACGTTTGTGATATGAGCATTTTACCCTACACATTCAAATAAATACTAAAAATAAAGGAAAAATGCATTTTGTGCTTATTAACATCCGTATGTGGGGTAAGAACTCGTAAAAACACTTTATCCAGATTATAAAAAAGAGCTCATTACTGCGCTTTTCAATCACACCTGAACCCTGAAGTGTAAAAGCCGCCTTCACTAATGCGTCTAGTTTCGCTGCCGCCAATCATAACTGCGATCACAAGCAACGAACCTTGGGTGCGTTTTTTTTGGGAAAATGCAAATCCGGATTTCCGAATCCAAAAACGGATTTTGGGTTTTTTTAGGCAAATCCAAAAACGGATCATGAATTCATAAAATCCACACTCTAGGTGGATTCTTCGTATCAAATCCCAATCCAGATTTTTGAGATTCACAATCTGAGCGTATTGCTAGACTGTTTTTAAACCCTTACTTGTCATGTTTTTTTCCAACTAATTAAAAAAACAATTCCTCGGCTTCAGTTTTTAATTCTTATAATTTTACTATCCTAAGGAGTGTATTCTATTCGAGAAACGTTTGTCTCATACATTTCGTACATTCATTCGTGGCTTACGTTGTTTTTTCTTCTTGTCTTCGCCGTGAGAATCAGTTTGTTATTGTTTTTTTTTTCCACGAGGAGCACGAGGACATGCCGTTGTCATTGTAAATGATCCTTTTTCGGATCTTCCGTTTTTTGGTAGTGAAGAATCCGTGTGATCTGACATCACAAATCCGTTTTTGGATTCTCCCAAAAAAACGCACTATATGTTTGTCTTTTTCGCAGGTGTTGGCTGGACGTCAGGTCTGAACATGAATAACAGCAGTGCCATAAACAATGGTACCCAGGATTTTCCATCAGAGTGTCATTATCTCTCATCATCACCAGTTCCTCAATGGATCAAGAAAGTTGTGTACCTGCTCATTCTGCTTTTAGCCTTATTTGGAAACGCATCAGTCATGTGGATAGTATACAAGCAAAGGCGCATGCACACAGCAACAAACTACCTTATAGTCAATATTACACTGATTCCCGATTTACCATGAAATGTAGGTCTGCCTAACGAGTCGCCATTAATTCTACCATTTAAAATTCTTAAATCCGCGCTTCTACAAATTTCCAAGAGTCGTTTTCCTTGATTATTCAAATCATTGTCAAAACTTTTTCGTTGGGTGGCGCATAACGAAGATTCAGAAAAATCGTTTGTTATTATCTTATTACCTTCTTGAAAAGCTCGATAGGATTCTTTAAAACATTCATCACATATTCTGCAGGATGTGTCTAATAATGTGTCAAACTTGATTCAATGTAACGCATTCCAATTCCAAGCCAAATCTGGCCTACTAACAGGCCAAAACATTTTCGATAATCACTGTTTTGACGTTTAATGCTGTTTTTTTTTAATTAATGCGCACCATGCTAGAAGAGCCTCCTTTTGTCTTATTTTTTACTGAGACTCTGCTGGCAGGATGATTAACGCACGCTACATACATACCATCAATAATAAAATATTTGAAAAAACATACAGATTTTTCTTTCCTCACGGTGGTTATATTTGCCTACGCTGCGAGCTGCATGGTTTCCCTCTTGCATGGCTTTTAGCGTTAACCAAGTGGTTCGCTTGCTTGTTGGATTTTCAATGGCAGGTCTAGATGTCGCAAAATTAACTGATTTCAAAGATTTTGGTTTATCGTTGCCATGGTAATATCGATTTTACTTAAGACTACATTTTGACAAACTTCAGTCTGAGATTAGATAGTGGTGAAAATTTTCTGGCGGTTTGTTTTGACAAGGATAAAATCACTTTCTAAGGCGGTTGAAAAATATCGGTATGGTCTCCGACTGAAAATAGTATCGAATCAGCTTAATTCTATGCCTAGGAAAATCACCGAACAACAATATTTATGGTTAGTAGTCCCTGGTAAAAATTTTTCGTAGAGCGATTTTCGTATGACCTTGAAATATTGTTTCGGTAAGTGTTCGTTATTTGTTTTATCAGCCAATGGACGAAAAGATCAAAACATGGCCTGTTCGTTTTCCCGCCAGAGAAAACCCTAATATGGAGAAGGCATTATTCGATTGGCCAATCGTGTTGCAGTATGACGTCAAAGCGAAGTATCGATTGATTTCTAGAAAGTTCTCGGGCATGAAATTTTTTCACCCGAGCGTTCGCTTGACCGAGCAAAAGCCACGCTCGTTTCTATCCGTTCGATAAACCAATCAAATCGCTCTATTTTCCGGTTCGTTTGTTGTTTCTTTTTTGATTGCGCGTTTTCATTTCAAGGTCATACGAAAGTCGCCCTACCTTCCTCATAACTCTGCAGGAGCATTTTTGAATGGTTAAAGGCACTGAACAATGACTTCAGCACAGAATTGACCTAAAACAGCAATATCCTTGTGACAAGGCTTTCTCTAAATAAAGAAATGGTCCTTTGCTAACACAAGTCAGGGCCAGTGGGCGTTGAGTGATTCAGCCGTCATACGGTTTTCCCAGTTTGCCTCCACGGGATTTTGGGGATAAAGCTCCAAAACCAAAAGAAATTAAGGGCATATATCACAAGCAATTTTTACATGTTCTAGCACGAAATGTATCGTGCACCACCAAATGACGTTATAACTGGCAGACAATTGATTAACTGAATCTGTTCTGCGCTGCGCGCAAAATTATCCAATCCTCTCTCACTTGCAAAGAATGGTCGACTCTCAATGCAAATGCTTAGTAATTTTTTGCATCATGTATGCTGTTTTTAATGCTGAAAATTATTATAAACGTGATGTAGACGAATGAATGGCACTGATAGCTAAAATTGATCCGTCTGCACATCTCTCTCTCTCTACCTCTGGGGATAAGAGTATCTATATGTATACAGCAAATGAAAATGTTACGTCATTAAAGCCCAATATACGCCTATTTAGCGGCTTGTTTTTAATCATGGACATGGTAAGAGATCATTCTCTACCAGGGAAACCGTGAGAAGAGGAGGCCTAAAGAGAAGCAATCGCCCCTTGAGGCACTTATTAAGAAATCTTTATCCCTAAGGATTAATCTCTAAAACAGCCGCTGAAATGCTCAGTGAGTGATCTTTCATATTATTTTCTTCACTCATATGACATGGGAGGAGAAAGAAGCCGGTTCTCGAGTGTTTCGTTAACATGCCAGTGTCTTCGCGACTTAAACTTTAATTTACCATTGTAATTACGGTTGGTGTAATATCTTAACGATTTTACCGACCCAATACGTGAAAATGTAAATGTTAAATGTAAAAATTGCCAACAGCAAGGTAATACCGGAACCCCGCCTTACGACCACCTAGGTAACACGATCACCAGTTAATACGGCCAAATTTTTTTGGTCCACTGGTGACCGTATCAACGGGGTTACACTGTACATGTAATCACGGTACTGGAGTGATTTTGTGTCAAAGGGTAATTAATAGCCCACTATTTCTAATGCAAACTGCTCTCTTTCCCGAGACGTTTGTGATATGAGCATTTTACCCTACACATTCAAATAAATACTAAAAATAAAGGAAAAATGCATTTTGTGCTTATTAACATCCGTATGTGGGGTAAGAACTCGTAAAAACACTTTATCCAGATTATAAAAAAGAGCTCATTACTGCGCTTTTCAATCACACCTGAACCCTGAAGTGTAAAAGCCGCCTTCACTAATGCGTCTAGTTTCGCTGCCGCCAATCATAACTGCGATCACAAGCAACGAACCTTGGGTGCGTTTTTTTTGGGAAAATGCAAATCCGGATTTCCGAATCCAAAAACGGATTTTGGGTTTTTTTAGGCAAATCCAAAAACGGATCATGAATTCATAAAATCCACACTCTAGGTGGATTCTTCGTATCAAATCCCAATCCAGATTTTTGAGATTCACAATCTGAGCGTATTGCTAGACTGTTTTTAAACCCTTACTTGTTATGTTTTTTTCCAACTAATTAAAAAAACAATTCCTCGGCTTCAGTTTTTAATTCTTATAATTTTACTATCCTAAGGAGTGTATTCTATTCGAGAAACGTTTGTCTCATACATTTCGTACATTCATTCGTGGCTTACGTTGTTTTTTCTTCTTGTCTTCGCCGTGAGAATCAGTTTGTTATTGTTTTTTTTTTCCACGAGGAGCACGAGGACATGCCGTTGTCATGGTAAATGATCCTTTTTCCGATCTTCCGTTTTTTGGTAGTGAAGAATCTGTGTGATCTGAAATCACAAATCCGTTTTTGGATTCTCCCAAAAAAACGCACTATATGTTTGTCTTTTTCGCAGGTGTTGGCTAGACGTCAGGTCTGAACATGAATAACAGCAGTGCCATAAACAATGGTACCCAGGATTTTCCATCAGAGTGTCATTATCTCTCATCATCACCAGTTCCTCAATGGATCAAGAAAGTTGTGTACCTGCTCATTCTGCTTTTAGCCTTATTTGGAAACGCATCAGTCATGTGGATAGTATACAAGCAAAGGCGCATGCACACAGCAACAAACTACCTTATAGTCAATATGGCGGTAAGCTGAGCTATTTAACTAAAACCTAACATTTTTTCAAAGACATTTTCACTGTTGAGTATAATTTTAAACGTAAAACTCATGTAACGAAGTCCAAAGAGCTGTTAGGAAAGATAAATTGGGTTCTTTCAACTGATGACCCTCCGAATACTCATTGATGTCTTTGATTCGTTATTAGCCACGTCAGGTGTACCCTACCACTCTCACATTTTGACAAATGTTTGACAAGTTTTCCTTAGATCTTAAATAGGGAATTTTAGATCCAACGACGCGGACGACAAAGAGAACGTCATAAAAATAATTGGTGTAATTAGCAAAACAACAACTTCCCACGTGCATCACACTTTTTGTACACTTCTTTACCGTTTTTGCACGACTGCGACTTGAAAATGCCTTAAATTTCGCGTTTTACGGAGGACGGAAACAAGCAAAGACGAAATTTTATTTCTCTTTCTGAGCTTGAATTTGGTCCCTTGAAATTCAGCTTCAGGAGTTCGCCTACAATTGACAAAGTAAGTGGGTAGGAATAATCGCTATAAAGACTGAAATTAAACGCATATTCACTTTTCAAGCGACGTTCTTCTTGCCGTCGCGTCGTTGGATCTTAAAGTCCCTAACAGGATCTATGAACACAGAATCAAGCAAGCGTGATAATGCAGTCCGAATTTTTTTATCTCGACGTATAGGTGCTGTCGTGTTTCCGAAAAGCAATTCCCACTCCGTATTATGCTTCTCCGTCTCGAGCTGCCCCCTGACTCCTTCTACAGAGGAGACTGCTACCTCTGTAACCGTCTCTTTCCATCCCATCTGATGCCTTCCCCGATATCTTATCCTTATTGGTTCCCTGTAGAGTAGCCTGTTTAAGACGCCCCGTTGGTTTCATACTGACCACTTGTAATGCAGAATCGAAGGAGATCTGAGAATGGGAGCTCAGAGCAGACTTCCTGAACACTTCCTCGTTGACTTTGTCACAACAGATGATAATCAGAAGGAAGGCTTATAGGCTCTTCTATTCTTCCACGTTAACGTTCCAGACGTTTTCTCCGTATAGTGATTCTATGATTACTAGTGCCTCGTGTACTATACTTTTTTGATGGAAGGTTGATTGCTTTGTGCAATATGACAGGCGTGGGTAGAATCGGCATCTGCTGCATGCCATTTGCAATTTTGCACAAAGGTCTTGGCGAGGTCTCCATCTGATGCACCATTGTGCTATGCTGTACCAAGCTAGATCAGTCTGTCCTACATTTTCCAGATGTTTTCACTGATTCTGATGTTCCACAAGGCAATGCGAGTCGTGAATTTTTGTGTTTTCAGTAAGGCCGATTTACCATTCTTTTTTTCTTCTCTTCTACGTCATCCCCGTTTGTACTCCTTCCTCTGGCGGTCATACGTTTAGAATCCTTCAATTTTTTAAAAAAACTTTGGAACAAAATGTGTCAAAAAAGTAATTAAATATAATATAAAATAACTAAATAATATAATATAAAATAATTAAATATAATATATTGTCGAGATGTAACGAATGCTCATTTGTCACAAAGGTCGTGTTCTATTGGCACCAACCGTTTCAACCAAAACCCATTTTGGTTGATTTGAAGTTCTCCATATGAAATTCTTTTTTAAAGTTTCCAAACCGTTTTAGGTTTAAAAGCGGTTGTGACTGGGTATACTAATTTTCCGAGACTTCCACAGACTTTTGTTGCAAAGGTTGTCAACATTTTGGCGAAAGAGTTTTAAGCGCAGAATTTTAGAAAAAAAACACAACACTTGAAAATCGATGCCTGTTTTCAATCATTTCAACCAAGTTCTGAGTTGGTTGAAAAAGTTGAACAACCAAACCAACCAATGAACAGCTTTTTCGCAATAGAACCTCAAAAAACCCAACCAACCAAAAACTGTTGGTTCAAATAGAACACGACCTAGGAAGTATTTTGCCACTTTTCTTGGTAGGTTGGAGATCTTTTTATGGCCATCTGCAGTATGATACCCACCACTATCAGTATGTTCCGTGGCATCCACTCATGGGTGAATGATGGTCTTTTTGGACAAATTTCCTGCAAACTGCTTCTCCTCTCACAAGGATCATCGATGGCCTGCTCAATCATCACTCTTACAGCCTTGGCTTTTGAGAGGTACTTTGCTGTTGTTTTTCCAATGTGGAACGCCGTAATTGCAACGAAAACAAGATGGACGGTAGCTCTTGTTTGGATAGCCTCGTTTGCATACACATCACCTATAATTTACGCTAGAAAGGTCCGACTTTATAAAGGTGTTCCCTTTTGCATTGAAGAATGGGCCCCTGCGTTTGATCCTAAAAGAGCTCCAGCGATTTACACCATCGTTTCCTTTGTGTTACTGTATGCATTACCACTTTTAGTGATTTCTGTTTTGTGCTCAATCATAATCGTCAAAGTTTGGGCGAGGCACATTCCAGGCAACTCAACTCCGGCAAAAGTTCGACTCTTGAATAAATCCAAGAAAAACGTGTTGAAGATGTTGATGACAGTGGTTCTTGCCTTTGCACTGTGTTGGTTTTTGATGCACCTCAACTTGTTTTTGCAAGACTTCAGCGACATTTTCGGTCCTTGTGGAATTCCAGTGGGTATGCAGACCACCGGGTTTTTGTTTGGTCTTGCAAACAGTGCTATCAATTGCTGTATATATGTTATTTTCAGTCAAGATTTCCGACGCGGATTTAAAGATCTTGCGACGCCTTTTGTTTCGGAAAAGATCAACTTTGCTTCTGGAAAACACACCAGGAGCCACAATGGATACGACACGAGATAGTCAGAAAAGCTCTCTCAAGCCACAATCTTTCAGCTTACCGATAACACCAAAGTTTAAAATGGTACTTGATTAACGAAAAATTAAATAAGTCACTACTTAAGAATAAGGACAAAACTGTAGTACAAAGCCAGGACACACCACTCTGCAGAAAGGCTGGTGCTACCTGAGTTAGGTACCATCCTTCCTCAATATAAAAATTTTGAATATTCTTTTTTCTAATATGAGCAGAAAATAAGATAGTAAGATGTAAATTGTACTGTCACAATTTGTAATTATCGTCGCACTTTGTAATACCTGTCGCAATTTGTAATAAACCATGTCGCGCTTTGTAATAAAAAAGCTGTCGCTTTTAGTAATAACTGTTACTTTGAAATAAACTAAGCTGTCGCAATTTGTAACAAAGTGCGGCGCACTTTGTAATAATTTTTTGAGAGTTATTCAACTTATTTCGTCAACATTAATATAATGCCAAAATATGAATGGTACTTCGTTAACAAAAATGATGACGTCTGCACTGAAACACGTAACTTACAAAATTACGTTTATAATTTATATCCCCGCTCATTCAAACCATTTAACTTTATTCGCGGTCCTAAACATTTTTTTTAAAAATAATGTTGATTAGTTATTTAATGTACGAAATTCTGTATTCTTAAACCTCGCTATTTTACCAGATGGTTTGCATGCAGTGGTTACTTGGGGGCTGTACTCCCTCATATGGCCAATACGGGGATGTGCCGTTGGACAGAGCGTTGTCAGAGTACAGAATGTAGACACACTAGACACAAACGAGCCATTATTAAAAGGCATTTAATTTCCACATATCGTAACATCCATCCTTGCATCCGGGACACCGGGAAAGCTTTCCTTTTTAGATCTTATCACAGGTCGACACAACACCGTCCTGGTCTAACGAGCAATCTTAAAAGAAGTAATAGTGGCTTCTATATTTTGGCCAACTTAATCAGACGAGGCCTGTAAAAATGCAAATTGTAATTTACTGCAAATAAACAAAAAAGCGTCACCAGAGGCAAACCGTCGAACCACAACAGAAACATAAACGCAAAATCCAATTAGTCGGTGGCCAATACCTTTGTATGTACCTGTTTTTTTATAAAACTCACTTGGGGTTATACACTGAGCCAGCTGACCATTTGGTCCATTATTCTCTCTTGATTTGGTCCCATATAGGAGCAAAAGGAGTATCATTCCATATTAAAACAATTTCTTTCTATGGAACCCTCTAAAGGAAATACCGTGGCGATAGTAAAAAGTTCTCCTTCACTGCGTGCAACTCGTAAGACCTTGAAATTCTTCAAAGCGTGTTCAGGATTTTTTTTTCCCAAAAAATGGAAACGATAATAAACCAAACCATCCATGGCTACTTGAGTTACCCTTGGCTATATCTAAGGATCAAACCAACGACACAAAGCCAACAAGGTAAAAAATGATACCGTATTTAAGGTCTGAGATCCTCAGCGGTACTTAGCTACCAAGACATGACTCTTTTGTTGTAAATGTTGCTTTAATTTTGTTACTTAAATATTTTTGAATTTAAATATATGAAATGATTCATATCTTTTTCTTGGTGATATGTCACAGGTTTAATGTCTTTCATAAAAGCGATTCTCGTTGGTCATATGATCAATTAAGGCAGAAAAATTTATAACGGAAGACATGCATGTTTGACCAAAGAAAATAATTTAAGTTTATAAAAAAGTGCGATGGAATTATTACAAATTGCGACTGCTTAGTTTATTACAAAGTGCGATGGACAGTTATTACAAATTGCGACAGCTATTTTATTAAAGTGCGACATGGTTTATTACAAGTTGCAACAGTTATTACAAAGTGCGATGGATTTATTATAAATTGCGACAGGTATTACAAAGTGCGATGATTATTACAAATTGCTACAGTACATAATATTACTATGAATTTTAGCTGAGAAAGTTAATTAGGCACTTACAAGTAATTAATAAATCGTTAGAACCGGTTTGTTATTGTGACAAATAAGAAAACCACAGCCCAATTTTCGGTTGTGAAAAAGTAGTCTTAATCTTAAGACTTGATTTAAAAATAGCCCGTAAATATCTTAGTCAGGATTTTTTTGTGTGATACCGGAATATATCCTATCCTTGATGTCAAGGTCGTTTAACAAATGAAAATGTTCAAACCACAGCCATTTTTGGTAAATCAAGTGGACAAAACAAAAAGAACTATAACTTATATAATTTAGTTTTCCGCATAGGAAACTGCCCACCTACTACTCTTTTAAGCCATCATTTTTTTTTTCCTAAGTAAGAAGTAAGTGATAATGTTGGCTTAGGGGAGGGGTAGATGGGCAGTTTCCCAGAAACCTAAACTGATCCATTTACAGTACGCTTTTTTTTTTACAATATTACACTGTAAGTACGTTTCCCAGTAGAAAGAATATTGTGACAAATGGCGTCTGAATGCGACAGCACACACGCACACACAACAAAAAAAGCCAATTAGCTAACGCTTCCCTGCCCCCATCCCCTGCAGGGCATTGAAGTTGAATTGTCTAAAGAAAGGTGGCCACTTCTTTCGCTCGAAACTGGAAGCACACCAAAAGTGCAAGCAGGTCTGCCAATCTCCGAGGAAAAAATGAAAACTGCGGACAAAAGTGAATTGTGTGAATTTTAGACATTGCCTTTCAGTGCTAATTGCAAAAAAAAGAAAACAATTCCTATCTTAAAGGATGAGCCTTAGCTTAGGGCGAATGTCTTGCAGAATTAAGGCGACATTAATCCATTACCGTGTCAGATGGTTTTTTAAAAAAATAAAACTAAAACATTCTGGTTACGTCTCCTTCCTGCAAAACATCCACTAGGCGAAAATTATGCGTAATTTGAAATGTGTTTTGGTGTTCTTGTCACTTTCTAATAAATGTTCATTTTGATTGATCTTAATAATTGCTTGTATAGAGTCTACGCTGATATGAATATTATGCCTACAAGCAGATCTATTATGCTAGAGCGCAATTAAGAAACGTCCGTTTTTTTTGAAAGCTTGTCAAAGCTAACTTCTGGATGACGTCTGAGAGGATTATTTTACGAAGCAACCGTGACATGTTTAAATTCCAGTTTTTAAAGTTCCTTGTATTACACCTCGATCTATCAATGCTGATCTAAGAGCTTGTTTCACAGCTAGGTATGTATATTCGGCAGGTTATTCAGCTCACTTGAGGTTCTATATATGTTCGAAATGAACGGTGACAACAAGTGGTTTACAAAACAATGTTAAACAGTTTCTCGACGAGCTTTCCGCAAGCGATAAAAAGGCTTACTTCAGTTAAGAACCCAACGGTCCGGCTTGCCAGTTCTAGTCAAAGCACCAGGCTCAAAGTGTAATCTTAAGTAAGGTTTAGCTGGGTTTGGGATTCTGTTGCTAAGATCTAGAAAACTTCGGAGTTTCGATCTCTGTCATCCTTGTAACGGATTTGCAAACAAGTATCCTCTGAATCACCGGGTGCTCTAAACACTGCTTTGCTTTTTAGTTTCTTTACAGTTAAAAGGAAAAAAATAAAACGACCCAGACCAGATTAACGTAACAAAAACAGTTAAATGTCCAAATAGATACAAACAATCTAAACTGTAAGAAGTGATGAAAAATTTCCCAAATTTAATCTGCTAAATATTGGGTTCTCTTTGATAATTCGCAATGAACCGCACTACAGTATGTGCCACCACAAGACTTAACAACAAAGACGATTAGTTATGCTATCCATGAAATGGAATTTTACTCGTATGGTCAGAGCATTCTACACATTTCATCTCTTATCGATGTCGAAACGTTGAGGCTGGCTGCCTTTCTCTACAACAATCTGGAAGAGAAAAACAAGAAAACTTAGTATTCCAAGCAGGTGTCAAGAGAAATCGAGACGGACAATTTAAAAAAAAAATGGCGAATATTTTGACTGAAACTAGTCTTTTTCTCAGAAAAAGTCGGAGCGGCTATTAGACTATAAACTGGCATAATTGTTCATCAGTTACTATACATTGCATATAGTTTTGATTGATTTTAGTCTGCTCGTGGTCGGCGCTTTTTCTGATCCAAGATAGTGAGATCACGGTGAGTATGAGGCAAGCATCTTTTGGTGATAGCATCACGTTTGCAGGAAGAAAAAGTTGACTTTAAAAAAAAAGTTGGAAAATAATTAAGGTGTCGCGATGAGATCGATGAGACTTATTCGGAAACTGGTTAATCCCGAATATTTATCCAAGGCCTGATTTTTGAGGGTGATGCAATAAAAGCAAGTGATTTTGAAAGTTTAGATCCTGTAATCGTGTTTATTTCAGAATGCGGTAAAAAAAAAACAAAACAAACCCTAATATCTGGAGATATCTACAAAAGCATCTTTATCTCTCCATTTTCGGGGTAAGAGTAGCTATGCACTAAGGGTAGAATATTTGGACCACTGTAGCCTTATACACCCCTACTGGGCGCCTTCTTGTTTAAATAATTATCATATAGCTTCGAATTCCCTGTCATGAAAAGATTTTCTGTTAAGGAAAACCGAGAGAACAGCGAGCTTGAAGAGGAACAATCACCCCTGAGGGGAATTTTTGTTCTTGAAGATTCTTGAATCTTTACTTTTTCGAGGAAACTTTACAATCACCCCTTAGGCCACATTTGGGAATCTCTACAATTTTTTTGTTTACTCATATGATGATTCCTGAGACCTATGTGATTTCAATATTCTACTGCCAAACGCTCTCTCCAAATAGTAAAAAAGAGAACTAAAAATAAGGCAAGTTCCGCTTAAGGTAATTTGTGTTCAAAATTGTCATTAAGGATTTTAGAATTAAATGGGCTAAAATCCTCCCCTCACTCTATCACCTAAATAACCCATTTGTCATGATTTCGCAAACATGAATTTAAAGTTAACTCCAAGATAACGATTGACATATTCATCAGTTTTTGCTTAATTTTGTAGTCTCTATGGCGCCACGATAGACAAAACGTCTTAGAAACACTGGGATACAAATTTTTAACGGCGGAGTAAGACTTCGAATATTCATCTGAAGTTCAAGCCTCTAGTGAATGGTTTGGCCATCTAGAAGCCTTACATTATGTGCACGGGAAAGGTTGAGAGAAGATTGTTTTTGTTTAAACCGTCATTTTTGCAGGTGTCAGCTAGACTTAAGGTCTGAACATGAATAACAGCAGTACGATAAATAATGGTACCCAGGATTTTCCATCAGAGTGTCATTATCCACCGTCAACACCAGTGCTTGAATGGATAAAAAACGTTGTGTACTTGTTCATTCTTCTTTTAGCCTTATTTGGAAACGCATCAATCATGTGGATAGTATACAAGCAAAGGCGCATGCACACAGCAACAAACTACCTTATAGTCAATATGGCGGTAAGCTGAACTTTATTCTTTGAGCTAAAAGCGCTTAACATTTTTTAAAGAAAATTTAACTGTTGAGGATAATATTTGTTGTAAAGCCCCGGTAAATGAAGTCCAGCTGAAGAGTTGTTAGATCTATTGGGTTCGTTCAACTGATGACCCTCCGATTATTCATTGATGTCATTGATTAATCATTAGCCACATCAGGTGTACCTTGCCACGATCCACTAACATTTTGACGCAAATCAAGGTAAAATACAAGATATTTTTCAGGCGGGATAATGTGGTCTGTGACTTAAAATCACTGAGACGTAACGTAATTATGCACTTCCCATTTCCTGCTGCTGTGATTGTCCTAGTTCCGTTTGACTGATTTTTGGCGGGCAAATCGTGTATATTAAAGAGGGCAAAGGCAAACTAGCTCTTTTTTAGACTGCAAACAATGTTTTAGTTACCCCACTCCTTTTCATTTTTTAGTTTCCTACTCCTCCACAATTTTCTTATTTCCCTTCCTCAATTTTTTATTCCCTCCTCCACAATTTCACAATTTTAATATTTTCCCTCCTCCTCCTCCTCATTTTTATTGTTTTCCCTCCTCCACCACCGCCACCAAATGTCCATTGTTTTCCCTCCACCACCACCACCGCCGCCGCCACCACCACATTTCTGTTGTTTTACCTGCACCACCAAATCAAGAACAATTGTTGTTAAGTGATTTGGTGGAGGGAAAACAATAGAAATGTGGTGGCGGTGTTGTTGGTATTCATAGGTTGGAGATCTTTTCATGGCCATCTTCAGTATGATACCCACCACTATCAGTATGTTCCGTGGCATCCACTCATGGGTGAATGATGGTCTTTTTGGACAAATTTCCTGCAAACTGCTTCTCCTCTCACAAGGATCATCGATGGCCTGCTCAATCATCACTCTTACAGCCTTGGCTTTTGAGAGGTACTTTGCTGTCGTTTTTCCCATGTTGAACGTCTTAACCACAAGAAAAACACGATGGACGGTAACTCTTGCTTGGATAGCCTCGTTTACATACGCATCACCAATAATTTATGCTGGAAAGGTCCGACTTTATAAAGGTGTTCCCTTTTGCATTGAAGATTGGGCTCCTGCGTTTCACCCTAAAAGAGCTCCAGCGATTTACACCATCGTTTCCTTTGTGTTATTGTATGCATTACCACTTTTAGTGATTTCGGTTTTGTACTCAATCATAATCGCCAAAGTTTGGGCAAGGCACATTCCAGGCAACGCAACTCCGGCAAACGTTCGACTCCTGAATAAATCCAAGAAAAACGTGTTAAAGATGTTGATGACAGTGGTTCTTGCCTTTGCTCTGTGTTGGTTTTTGATGTACCTCAACTTGTTTTTGCAAGACTTCAGCGACATTTTCGGTCCTTGTGGAATTCCAGTGGGTATGCAGACCACCGGGTTTTTGTTTGGTCATGCAAACAGTGCCATCAACTGCTGTATATATGTTATTTTCAGTCAGGAATTCAGACGCGGATTTAAAGATCTTGCGACGCCTTTCTTTCGGAAAAGATCGACTTTGCCTCTGGAAAATACACGAAGAGCCACACTTGATACGACTAGAAATAGTCAGAAAAGCTCTCTCAAGCCACAGTCTTTCAAAGTTATCGAAAAGACAAGAGTTTAGAATGGTGCTTAGATAAAGAAAAATTAAATAAATTACTGCTACTTATGAAAGTGGACAAAACTGTAGTACACAGCCAGGACACACGACTCTGCAGAACGATGTACTGGGGTCGTCTTTACGTACCAGTTTTCCTTAAATTAAAATGATTGCTTTTCATTTGAATAGCTCCTTCACAAGCATTAGCAGAAAATAATATTTAAATGACTCTGTTTTACTTGAAAATAGTCGACTCTTATCTCCGATTTTCAGGCCTTTTCAAACTTGTGTCCTCGAGCGACTCATCAGATATACGGTTAGAAAACACTTGTTATCCCCTTAATAGGTGATTCAGATACCACAGCTATTCAAATGAGTACATGAAACACTGGCACGCATTGTCCCATTCACTTCACTTTGTCCGACACGAAGGGCGATTAGCGACCCACCCACCTTCCCCAGCGAGTAAGTCAGGTTCCAGATTACCTATATTCAGTTCAGTCTGCAGTCTTGGGCTTGTCCCAGGTCACACTGATTCCCCATACCTTATTATAATGTCATGAAGATGAATATTATACTGTTCAAAATAGTTCACACCAATTATGGAATATTTATTATTGCTGGATGTTAACGTAAGGGTACATTAAAGACATGAGAAAGAAAACCACATTTTGTGAGTTTAGAGTGGTTTTCGTTTGAGTGTCGTAAAACCAAAACCAAAGTAATTACTCTGGCCAATCACATAGGACACAGACAATACATTGAACCAATCAAAACTCGAAGTAATTACATGTGGCTGACGCAAAGCGCGGGAAAATGCATGCGAGCGCGTCACAATTGGCTTTGGTTTTACTTCTGATTGGATGAAAAGGTGGCGCGAAT